CCAAATCTATATATATATATATATATATAGACAAATTACTGATTATCTGTGCAGCAAATATCAATTCCTTCTGTCTTTAGAGTGTCTAAATATTCCTTGATAAAAGATTAAATAATATTGAAATTGTATTATTAAGTTGTGTTGGTTGCTAGCTTTTTATAATTTATAGCCATTGTGACCTTGATAATAGCCACAAATGCCTATTGCATACAACTGTTGAGAATCCTTTTATAATTTTAAAATGATTTTGACATTTCATCAACGTAGTGCTCTTGAAGGAAATTTAAAATGATATTTTGGGGAGATGTAAAATTTGGGTCAAATCTAGAAGGTTCCACAGAGTTTATTTTCGACCTTCACCCCCACCCTTCCTTTTCCCTGTTTTTCCTTATCGATGGCTGTACAAACAATTATTAGAATGTTGAATAGGTAGTAGGAAGCATTAACCTTGGGAAACCACTGTGTGAAGAGTCCGTCCTTTGGCTGGCAGAACATGCCCTGTTTATTTCATGAAATAATACACATTCATTATGAAAGGTGAAATAATCTCTGCCACCTATTAAATGTTTTGCATCTTGACTCCAAATCAGTGAAATTAGTACTGTAAAGAGCTAGTGTGCTTATGATGTATTTATGCATTTTTCAGCTAGTGAACTATGTTCTTATTGCTGTTTTTAAGCAAATCATATCTTGATGCATCTTTAGCATTTCCCTTCTGACGTTTTTTTTAATTGAATTGTGGTTAACAGTTCATGGATCTTCTGGAAGAACATCCTAAGTTGCGATTATCAAAAGCTAGTATTACACATCAAGGAAAGAATCTGTACATGCAAGCTCCCCCTGTATTGGAAGAAATGACTCGATCAAACCTGAGTCTCTCTCTTTTTAACCTCATGGGTAAATTGCCCAAGGATGTTGTGCATGTGAATGGTACAACAATCAAGAACGACCAAAAGTTCTCTTGTTTGAGAAAATTACGTGTTGTTTTCAAGGGAGTTGACGGGGTTACAGATATGGATACAGCCGGGGGAGCATAACTTTGGACATCCAAACGTGTTTTGATGCTTAATTTTTTCGGCTATATAAGCATAATTTATGTATCACAGCTTGTTTCCAATATTGGTCAGGTAAGGTTTTACAGTTTCTAGCCTGTCAAAGTTATTCATAGACAAGTCAATAACACTTGATGCTGTGAATTTGTTGCCCCACAGGGCGACGAATTTTGGCAATTCCATTTTATTATATGCCCTTAGTTAGATTGATGGAGCAGAGTTAAATTATGGATATCTGATGCGATTAAGTTGCTTAAATGTTTATAAGTGCCCGTATTTCATCTCTGAAATTCTGAAGTTGGCCTTAAAATATCTTGATGCAGATTTATTTTGTGGGGGAGAAATGTGCACGCGAGTATATGTGGCAACGAATGGTTGAGAATGTTGAACATTCTGGTAGCTAGTTACTATAAATATTTACTAAAGTGAATTCAAGGCACCTATTTAGGCTTTGGAATGAATAATGCATGCATTAGAATTTAGAATGGCTCAGCTTACAGAGATGGGAAAAGATGCTAAATAGAAGCCATTGAACTAGTAGCTTTGTACTTTAGGGGGAATCTCCATGGTGGGCTAAAATTCAGGGTATAATATTAGCAGATCTCTTTGCATCGTGTTTGAAAAGATTCATTACCAAGTCGTGCATTACAAGCGGTAGCAAGGTGGCAACTTGCGTTGTTTTTGGAGTTTCTATGCTTTATTTAGCAGTAAAATGGCAATTTGCTTCGAGTCTTTAAGAAGTATTTATATTACATGGAATGGTTGTCTGTCTATGGAATCTTGCGAAGATAAATTCTAACCTATACAAAATCGTTCATAATAGTGTGGTTGATTGTATTAGAATGGTTAATGATTAGATGTCAATCTTTTCGGTATCAGATAATTAAACTAGAAATTCAACTGCCTGCCTGAGATTGCAGATTCCATGCAAGTCTGAATATACGATTTATGAATATTAACTTGGAGCATAGTATTATGCATAAATTTGTGAAGAGTTGGTATATACCTATTAAATAAGGATTAAAAAAAGAATTAGTGCCTATAAGATTTATTTCTATCAATTGTCGGTAATAAGAGGATAAAAAGATTGAGATCATAGGTATAGGATTAAGTAGAGAGAATAAGGTTAGGAAATATCGTATTGATTGATAATAGAATCAACAATGTATATGGTGCTCTAATTCATGATTCCTGTTAAGAATTAACAAGTAACTAACCAAAGCAAGGTAATTAAATAACTCTAATAGATTTTCACTCTCAAAATCGCCTTCCACAAGCTAGTAGTGGTGGTAAAAGTCACCGGGGCCAACTTGAACACATGTCTACAAGCCACAAATGCATAAGCGAAGGTGAGATAATAACTTTAAACTAAATTCCGAACACCCATGAATTTACCCCCATATCTCAACCAGAAACAGTTACTTTTTTTCTTTGCTCAATTAATCTTATAGCAAATTTCGTCATTTCCGTAAATCATTTTCGACGAAGGAAAGACAACTAGAGTTCAAACCAAATTTCATATGCACAGCACCAACCAATTTTCCCAATATAATATGGGATTGTCTGGTTATGCATCACTCTTAACATGAAGTAGATCTTGAGGCAATAAACAATAGCTTCTGTATCAATTTGGTTTTTTGGACGTGATTTTATTGATAAATGTAGATTCTGAAGCAGATCTAAACATGCACTATCTCAACTTGAAATGGTTCATTCCTTTCTCTACTTAATCTCGCAACAAATAGTCATTTCCAACTGTCCCAGAGTGGTTGGTGAAGCTGGCGCCATCCATGAGTACGAGAAAGCATTCGGACATGAGAATTATATTTAGTCGTAACACACAAAACTTGATTATTTTGCGGTTTAATTATTTTTTCTCCATATAGTTTTATAGGTTTTCTTTTTAATTTTTATAGTTAAAAATGTTTCATGTTAATCTTATATATATTATTTTTATTTTCTTTAATCTCTGTCGTCTATTTTTATAAAGACTGTAAAATAAAATGTATGAAAATATAAGAATAAAAAAGAAATAAATAATATATAGTGAAACTAAAATAGATTAATTTTAATTATAAAAATTAAAAAGATAAATTTGATGAAATTATAGGGAAAAAAAGTAAATTACTGTTGCATTGATTTTATTTTTTTTCATAATTTCTACAATTGTGACGCAACTTTAGACGTAATTTAAAACTATGAATAGGTGAAAAAAGGAAAAGCACACAAACGCTATGGCTGTTATGAAAACAACAGTCACATGAACCAAGAATAATGCTTATTCCACATAATCTGGAAGCACATTAATTTCCTTCGGTCAGGGGTAGTTGTGCAAAAAATAAGATACAAGATAGAATAAGTAGCAATCAGATGATGCATGTGAAAATGTATGTTTAGTTTTTTTTTTTTTTTTTTCTGGATTAAGACTTTCAATAGCTAAGTACTATACCCGCACACCAAAAATGATCATCTAACGCTCCTTGTTGTATGCAAGTGGGGCGTGACACGAAGGAAAAAAATTTTTAAAAAAAAAATTAATAAATGTAATGTGACTGAAAAAAAAACGCTAGAAAAATTAAGAATTTAAGGTGTAGAAGAAAATTATGTTTTTTTTTTCAAACAATTGATTTAGTAAAATTAACAATAATGATAAAATTAATTTAATCTATTAAGTTGATCTGTTTTACATGTTCAGTTGTTTAATTTTTAAAGAGAAGATTAAGGTTGTGTGTTCATCTTAGTCGCTTATAAACGAATTTGGATGAGTTGGACTTAGATTTATTTTTTGGTAATCTATACATTTTGTTTTTGGTAATTAGTTGGACTTGGATTGAGTCAATATATTGAGTTGAACTTATTTATTTATTTTTAATTTGAGTGTTTGAGAATGTATAGAAGATTAATTAAAGGTTAAGGATCACCCTTTTATAACAAAAAAAAAAAAAAAGAGAGAGAGACAAGTCAACCTATCTTATGATCCATATAGGATTTGGTTGGAGTTTCCCACCCATTCTTTAAAGGATTCAACTTAACTCAACTTATTTTTGGTGAATAAAGGATTGAGTTGGGTTTTATTATTATGTAATTCCTAAAATTAGACAAGTTAAAAGATAACAAAATGTATAAATAAATTATTCTAACAAAAAAAATTAGAAAATAATTTGCCAACTATTTTTTAGATGGTTCATCATAATATAAGTTGTTCACATAGGACAAATAACCCCTTAAGAAACCCTTTTTCTGTGCGTGTGACAAATGAAGGAGATTAACTAGCGGATTGACTCATAAGTCACGACCCATTATTTTCATTTAATTCTAAGCAGATCAACATGTATTTTTTAAAAAATAAAATAAAATAAAATCTAGGCGAATCGAATGATTAACCCATCCTCAAGATAAGTCCAAACTAATTGCTCATTTAATAAATAATAAAAAAAAAATACTCATATTCATGTACATGCACGTATAATAAATTTATAATTATGATACAGTTTATTTTATAAAAATTTGTTACTAATAATGTATTATTAAAAATAAATGGCTCATTTTAAGAGATTTAAATCGAACTACAGCAAGTGTATGAAGAAATTGACCTGCCTTGTCCTCTCTATTATATCGCTGCTTAAGTTGCGAGTTGCGACGGTGACCCTTCCATAATCGATTAATCATAGCCATTATCTTTGTTGAACTAAGGTACCAAATAATACTTTTGATACTAGTTGGGTCCAATTGCAAGTTGTTGTTGAAGATGAAGATCCAGTGACAGTTATGAAGGATTTGTATGCGTGGTTTAATCTTGACGCTACAAGATAGAAAAAAGATAAGAAGCTTAGGGACACAAATTGATTAATTGTTTACTGAGGTATGAATATGCATGTGGACCATCCAGAACCAAGTATATATATCTTAGGGATCATGAATCTACATATATATCTGGACAATACTTGTTCCTTTCTGTTCCTCATCTTCTTTAAGATTAAGCGGATAGCCATAGGATAATATCGCAATACACTTCTATGATTCTAGTGGGCCTTAGCCAGATTGGCCCATGACCCCACCAACCCACATGCCCATCTCATCCCTTGGCTTTTCCCCTCTATTAAACACCCTGCTTTTCGGCCATCGCAATAAAAGAAAAACAAACACAAACTTCAAACTCCAATACTTGTAGAAATTCACAAGGAGGTTACTATGGAACTCGATGATGATCTATTTTTTGCTGACTTGAGCAAGCAAATTTCTCTCCTAATTATGGATGAAGATGATGACCCCCTTGCTTCTTGTACTTCACACTCTCTTCAGGTAATTTTTTCACAACTTCCACATGCAACCTTACTTTAACATGGCTATGTTTGTATAAATTTCTTAAACTAATTATAGCATTTTGAACATATGCTTATGGTTTAAACTAATTTTCAGACATTTTGTGGATCAATTCAGCCTCCTCCACAGTCTGGTTTCCTCTATGATGATACTTTGAGAAGACAAATTAGCAAAGGGACAGGTGTGTTCATCCCCCAATCCACACAGCCTAGAAGGAAGCACAGGAAAGGAAGATCAAGCTCAAACTCTAAATATCAAAAGCAGTCTCAAGATACAAAATTTGTTTCTCAAGTTCCAATAAAAAGTTCTTTCAAACCCAAAAATGGTTGAGGATATATGGATTCTTCAACGCAATATTGTTAGTTTTACTTAAGTTCTATTGATTAATTACTTTGCCGAGTTTAATCACTTATGGGTTTAATTCTTTAGTCTTTAGGCAATAATAATTATATGGCTATATAGTTTGATGGATTCATGTATATAGGTTATTATGTACGTGGGAATGCCATATATGTACTTGCTACCTAGTCTTTATAGCAAGATCTTGTAACCCTTCATCGTTGCAAAAGCACGATTAAGTTGTTAATTATCTGGTTTGATGAGTTTATTAATCTTGTTTCTTCCGAAATACAATTTTTCCTTATGTTTCGCCAGATATTGGCAATTTGGCATAGTTTGATAAGCATCAAAGCATTTTATATTAAATTGCCTTTTTTTCTACTTATCATGTTTAGGTTATTAAAAACAGAAACTTTTGATGTGACATAATAGAGACTATGAGCGAGTACAGTGAAGATGCACGATTCTTGGTGGGTCATTCTTCTTAATGCTGTTCAACTTTTTGGTTTTGTATTGAAAGTTTGATTCTTGAATATATGGCTAATAACTTGTATAACTGGTTTTTTTAACCCAGAATAATAATTTATGATCCATTATTTTGTAAATATCACTTCCACGTGTACAAAAAACGAGTTGGAATTGCCGATTGCTCCCCTTTCGAGTAATTAAAAAATTAGAATTAGCCTTACAAGCTTATTACAAATTAGAATACGCTTGGAAGGCTTATTATTATAGATGTAATTTCTAATTAGTAGTTGATTTGTATAAAGACTATTACAATCATATTGTCAACATATTCATATTCTCAATATATTAATTTTCCACTTGTTTTATTTTTCTCTCATTTATCTTCTCTGCTCCATGAATTCTAACTTATAACTTTGGCCGTTTGGCGTCCCTTAAAAAAAAGTATGCAAGCCTTTTATATATACAAGTCTACCTTCCATTGAAAATAAAAGAACATCAACCCTAATTCATACTTGTGTATCTCATACTAAAAAAAGAAAACTGTTGAATTCCTGGCAAACCCTCTCTATGTATAAATATAAGAAAATATTATATTAGTATTTAATCATCATGCACAATAACAAATATTTCTTTAATTATCTATTGTAAAAATTAACAAATTTATCATATATTATAATTATCATACATTATAGTTTAGGATTGAATAATAATATGAAATTACTTACACTATCAATACATAGCTTATGTTCTCATATACTCTTAAAAATAATTTTCAATTAATCAATTTTCATCTTTATTTTTTATTTTCTTTTAATCTAACAATACTAACCGAATTACTCTTAGCCTAACCTTCTCTGTCTATTTATATCTCAAAACGAAAATATAAGGATGTGAGAATGAAAACTCAATGTACTATAATTCAAATAGTTAAATGGACAGTTAAGATAATATTTATTTTCTATATATAGTTATATAATTAAGAGTAATTCTTCTCACCTTTTAGCCTTTTAATTTTGATTATCTCGTAAGAACATGAAAAGTGAAAAAAATAAAAAATAAACAATCTTATTAATTAACTATACACATCATTCTCTCACATTTCATTTTCATCCTTTTATTTTTTATTTTTTTATCTCTACCTACATTTCATATCATATCTATCCCTTTCTGTATTTCGTTTTTCTTCTTTTCTTCATTTCTCCTTTTTCTCCACTCCACTGCATCTCATTTTAGGGACAGACACTTGTAATATTTCTATAATTATACATTATCAAATTTATTTAATTTAATTTAGTTTTAATTATTTAAATTATATAATTAAACTATGTTACTCTCTTTCTTATCACTCACCAGATAACTTTGTATAGATATCATTGATTGATCTATCAGAGTATCACCGTGGTTGGGAAAGTGGTGTAAATGATTGAATACGTAAGCTTTAGGATGTGCAAATTGCCTTTAGTGATGAATCAATTATTCTATTCATGCCCCACTGGCCACTCTTCATGTTAAGATTTGCCGTCTTGTTGACCTTCATTATGTTATCTTTTTCTCTAATCTATTTAAACTTGGAATTTTTCTAATTTTAATTTTCAAACAATATTTTTCTTATTATTCTTTTTATTTATCAATTAAACATTTGTTATAATAATAAAGTATATATATACATAATAAATTATTAAATATAAATTATTATTTTTTGAGTGAACGTGTTATTGGTATAAAATATTTACTAGTTATGTCAATAATTAATCTTCACCAATTAAGTGAGTTGTTGTAAATTTTCTAATATTAACTTCAATTATGATGAATAAAAAAAATATCCTCAAAAAGTTTAATCCATCATCTTTAATGGAATCCCTCTTTATAAATATTATTAGTAAATTATTTTTTTTCTCCAACTACACACTTCTATTTACAACATTCAGATCTAAAATTTTGCTCATGAAGATCGAGTCTAGTTTTACCAAAACCAATGACTGATTGTGATAATATTATTTTTAATTGAAAATAAATCAAATGCTTTTTTTTTTTGGATATACCAATAAGATAATACTGTGTTCTATTTGATGAAAAAATAAGTTAAAAAAATTGTCATAATGTTAGTTTTTTAATATAATATTAATTAGTAATCATTCTTTTTTTTTTCATTTATACCTCATAATACTTTTTAAAAAGTGATTTTGTGTTGCATTGCTTTAATATAAGACACAATTTAGAATAAATTTTTGATTTTTTTATATAAGACTCAATTCATGTTATCTTATATAAATTATTTTTAGATAAAAATACTCCTAATTAGAGTCAGTTTTCTTGATTTGATAAAATGCATTAATTATATATCTTAAAAGAAATTGTGCTCTAATTAGTTGTGAGAAAGATGATTATTAATTAAAAAAGGTAAATAGTATTAGACATGGACTCCAATGAGTTAGAGGATATGTGACAATTAATTAGGAAAGAGTAGTACAAAGGTAGTTTTAGAATATATATA